TTCCCCTATCTCTTGGAAATCCAAGAAGCAGAGCACAGTTTCTAAGTCATCCTCCGAGGCTGAGTATCGAGCCATGTCCCAGGCTGCTTCTGAAATTACTTGGTTGGTGCGTTTGCTTCAAGAATTGCAGATCCCAGATTTAAAACCTGTTACTCTTCATTGTGACAATCAATCAGCTATGCAAATTGCTCGGAATCCTCTGTTTCATGAAAGAACTAAACATATAGAAATTGATTGTCATTTCACTCGAGAAAGAATCCTTGAAGGGCTTATTGATCTTTCTTATTTACCCACTGCTAATCAGCTTGCAGATGTGCTTACCAAGATCCTTCCTGCCGAACAATTCCAGAAACTTTTATCCAAGCTGGGTATGGTTACTTCCCCACCCAGCTTGTGGGGGGGGGGTGTGAAGATACATCAGTGATATGCCACCTGTCCATGCCAGCTGTCCAATTCTCCTAACTAATTGTCCCTACTTTCTAGCTTAGATATTTTTGGTTTGTTAGGCTAGATATTTTTGGTTTGTTAGGCAGCTCAGTATGGTGTGTATATATATACTTTGTTTCCTTTTCTCTGTGACGACGGATCAGAATATGAAGCTTGAATAACATTTCCATTTTCTTCTTCCCTGAGTTCTTCTCTGTTCTCTTTCTGTTCACAACTTTAACATGAACGTACTAAGGGAGATAGGCCTATTGTCATCGAAGCATTTAGGACTCTCCTTCTTTGGAATAAGGGTAATAAGAGTACTACCATAGGCCTGAGGGATGGGGAACCCTAAGAAAAATTCTTGGGAGGCTTTGAGCATGTCCTCTTTTATAATTTCCCAACAAGAGCGGAAGAAAATCCCGTTGAAACCATCCGGACCCGAGGCGCTGCTGCTGTCAAGCTCCCAAACTGCCTGCCGAACCTCCTCCATTGAAGGAAGGCTACTTAGCAGGTTATTGTCACTGTCAGTAATAAGCCAAGGGATATGTGAAAGGGGATGAAGAGGGTTGGGGGTGGAGAGGGCCTTAAACTGCTTAGTGAAGTGAGTGGTGGCTTCCCCGCAGATATCTTGTTGAGAGAAAAGTCCTTTTCCATCTTCCGAGATAATATGATTAATGGCCAGCTTCCTTCGTTTCCCATTGACAAAGGCGTGAAAAGCCTTGGAGTTGCAGTCCCCATATTCAAGCCATCTAGCATTAGCTTTTTGCTTCCAATATGCCACCTCTTTGTGTGTAGCTAGTAGCAGCTTGGCATTAGCCTCCTGGGCTTTCTCTCGGTTTGCTTCAGATGGGTCTTCCTCATAACGCAGCTGGGTTTGGGTGGCTTGATCCTCTGCCATAGTTAAATTAGCAAAAATATTCCCAAACTCCTTCTTGTTCCACTCCCTTAGACAAACCTTTAGATCTTTAAGTTTGGCCACTAGTCCACGCATGCCACCACAGGTGAGACTTTTAGTCCAACTGTCCTTTACCACTTGGAGGAACTGGTTGTGGTGTATCCAGGCATTCTGAAATCTGAAGGAAGAAGGCCCGCGGTCTTGGCTAGTGCGATAAGAGAAGAGCACAGCTTTATGATCACTACAAGCTTTGGGTAAGTGGTGAGTGTAAAAGTTAGGAAAGGATGATTGGAATGCAAGGTTAACTAGGATTCTGTCCAGCCTACGCCAAGTTTTCCCACGACTCCTTGTGCCAGACCACGTAAAGAGACCACCAGATGGGTCTGGACAAAACAGATTGCATGCTTCAATGCACGAGTTGAACTCTTCCATTCCTTGCGCACTTGGTTCGCACGTACCTTTATATTCTGTAGGGGAAGAGATAGCATTAAAGTCACCTCCCACCACCCAATTATGATTAGTGTTACTCCTCCCCTGCAAGCTTTGCCAGAGATGTCTTCGTTCAACCACCGTGTGAGCCCCGTATACACAAGAGATGGTAAGGTTGGTGTTGGAGAAGTTTACCATGGAAAAGTTGCAGTGAGTAACTTGTTCTTCATCAATAGAACTAACCAAATGAAGCATGCTAGAATCCCAAAACATCCATCTCTTGTTATTAGCCGAAGAGAGATAGCTGTTGTAACCCAATTTGAGACCGTAGGTAGATATGTGTGTGGCCGAAACTTTAGGTTCAAAAATGCAGAAAAACGAAGGGGTGTGAATCCTCTTGAGGGAAAGAAGTCTGTCAAGGGAAGAGGGCACCCCGCAGACATTCCAAAAAATCAGCTGCATTTGGGAAACAGTGAGGGTACTTTATTAGAACTCTTACTCCTAGTCTCCATAGCATGAGGAGTAAAATCTTTGGAGTGTTTGAGGTACTTTTTGAAAGGCATGGGGGTGGAGTTGGAAGAGG